TCTCGGATTATTCTTGTATAAATGTCTGATGTAGTCTTTTTGCTTTTGCTGAAATCTCGGATTATTCTTGTATAAATGTCTGATGTAGTCTTTTTGCTTTTGCTGAAATCTCGGATTATTCTTATAAGAACTTCTGACATAGTCTTTTTGTTTTTGTTTAAATATTTCATTCTCCTTGTAAAACGTCCTTATACGGGCTCTCCATTTCTCGCGAAACTCAGAACTCTGCCTATAAAGATTTTTTATGTACAGGTTTTGCTTCTGTTTTCTATCAGGGTTGTTTTGAAAATTCCTGCGAGAGTAAAATCTTTTCTTTTCTCTGAAAGATTCCCTTAACGCATAGTTTTCTCTTTCCTTCCTCTTCTGATTCTCTTTTCTTTGTCTCAGTTTCTCTGTCTTAAGTAGTCTCATCTTCATTTTTTTTCTTTGTGCTTTAGGGTACTTTGACAGTTTCAAAGACATTTCCAAAAGTGCACTTCTTGTTTCACTGGAAATGGGGAGTACTGTATTTTCTTGTGTGACAGACGACATAAAACTAACTGCATTAGATGCACCTTCAATTACATCATCAGAAGAACAACTTTCAACAGGAGACATGACTTCAACATTGATGTTTGACTCAAGACCAGGAATGTTTTGTGCAAGGGAGGCAGACTCAACCTCATGTTGAACAGCACTTGGTGTGTCAGATTCAGGTAACAGAGGAGACGTGCCAACTGTGTCTGAAGCATCTCTCTGGTAAAATGACAGGGGCTGGAGTTCAAATACACAAGATGATGGTACGTTAAGCATTGTGTAAATTGACTTTAATCTCTGAATCATGTCAGTAAGATGGGCAAATTTCAGCATCACTGCTGTGCCAAAGTTTAAAAGACTGAATGTCACTGGCATTCCATTTTTGTTCCTTGTGTGTGGGTCAAAGTATCCATATTCACCAGATCTGCTTCTGAAAACAGCAATGCATAAACCTGACATGATCAGCAGCCCATATTGTACATCTGATGACAAATGGCTCAATGCTTCTTCCAGGCTTGGATAAGTCTGTCCACCTCCAAATGTTCCACACACAGGTAATGGAGTCATGTCCACCTGATATGTTGACCTGCGAGCACTTACCTCATTTGGTAGTTCATCAGTTGCCAAATGGATGCTACGAGGAAATCTTTCTCTAGCCTGTCTGTACACAGCATCACCTTTATCCAGAACGAGGTCAAGATCTGGTCTGGTAATCATTTCATTCTCGTGGAAAAAAGCCAGAAACACCAAACTGTTGGCCATACACTGACTGTTCCTGTATTTTCCATATTTCAACGAATCCTGACTCCGTGAGGCACACACATGTGTCACTGATGGCTGAAGTTCTGCATTAACTCGAGACTGCTGAGCTGAACCACATCCTCTTTTCACCATGTCAGCATACGACACCTGGGATGCACTTTGCTTTGTATCTCCTGCATCATGCTGGAAAGCTGTTTGGGCAGTGTTTCCATCAGATAGTGCTACCACAGAGGATAAACTGTTTCCACTTCTATCATTTACCTGCTGTCGTTCAAAACACTCCCCAACACACATACCATCTCTAGCAAGCTGTCTCTGTGCAACATCAGTGTATGGTATATTCTGAAACTGCTGCTTGTTATTCTCAGAGTCAGTACCTGTCACTTGATCGCTCTGAGACCGTTTCTCCTTCTGCCATCTGAGCTTTTGAGCCTGGGAACGCTGACTCTTTCTCGGCATCGTTGATTCGACTTCTGGAAAGGTCAGGCAGGAAACAGCAACTCCAATTGTCCTTGTTGATTTTTTTTATCTCAAGATAAGCAGATACAACACAAAACTACACCAATGTACATACAATGAATGTGTTAGTGTTGAATAGCCAGTCAGTACAAACCTGTGCACAAACCTGAAGTTCAGTCCAAAGTCAGTAGCAGCAGGCAGGAACACGAATTAGGCAGCTCAGATAAGAAATGAGCTTTACTTCAGTCCAACTGAAATTTTGTTCAATAAAAATTTAGCACAGTTGATTAATTTTGTACTGAGTTCTTAAACGTATACAGATCAAGTATGTAGTTGATCTGTTTCAGAAATTATTTAAAATAGAAAATTATAATCCAATTCAGAAATAGAACTTTTTTAAAACTTCAGGTCCAAATCAGATTACTCAAAAAGATGTCTCAGATATATCAAACGTGTTAATTATTACTTAACAAGACGTCTTAGGATTGTCAAGCTTCCCAGTTATTTACTGTTACGGTGTAGAGGGGTAAACAGGAAAGACAGAGCAGTGAGAGGGGAGATTCTCTCAGATTCTCAATGATAGTCAGATGAGTTATTGATAAACTCGATAGAAGTATTCTTTCTCAAATATATAGCCACAAAATTCATGCCACAAAATTCATGCCACAAAATCGAGAGTAGAACTGTTCAGAGGTCACAGGACGTAAGATGTGAGGGGAAAAACAGATCTAGTTACTGGTAAACTAGATTAAGAGAGACAGGCAAAAATCAATTTGGCAGTAAACTGATCTTTGAAGAAACAAAAAGGGAACTCTGATTACTGGTAAATCAGGTTCTTGAATTCGGAAAAACCAGGCCGCCTATTGGGATGCTGGTTTTTGAAAAGATTTGTGTAAAAGTTTAGGGACGGGACAGCAAAATGCATAGAAAATGGATTTCCAGATATATTGGAAGGAAGAGGAAAGAGAAAAACACAGTTGGAAAATGAAAATGCTTCCGACAGTGGTTAGAATTGAGTGTCGGTGGAACACCTGCGAGACAAAGAACAGTCAATAGACATCAAAATGAAACTATCAACAGAGCAGCTTCTGGGTCAGATTCCATCTGAAAAGGTTCAAACTGTGAAGAAATGCATAGCTACTACTAGTGAACTAAGCTCTGTGGTGTGAACTGGGTTGTTGCTGTGTTTTCATGACCTTTATTGAAATAGTTCAATGAATGTAGATTATGATTTTCTTACTGATTCAATACGAAATAGGATGTATCCCAGCATACAAACAGATAAAAGAGTCAGCTGCTTTAGAAGAATGTAATGCTGATTTGGACCTTCTTGATCACAGAGCTTAAAATGAGTGACAGAAAACCTCATCATGAGTCCAGAAAACAAGTCAGGGTCCTCATGTGAGCACAGCCAACATATCCTGTTTGGACCCAATTTAAAGCCAATGTTTGTAGATATGATTTTATTCAAATTGTGTGCGAGTCAGGTTGGATCAGCTGTGACGGCTCGGCTGATCCAGGTTGGAACATCCGCTCACCAGGAAGGCAGGTGTTTGGGTCCACTTCTCTCTGTGAGGGAGAGTAGAAACAGTTTGTTAGTAGCTGACCAGAAAACCTTCAGGAGTCCAGAACACACTTATCTGCTAAGGTTCTTTGTTGACTGTACACAAGCTGCTTTGATCTAAACATTTCTGGATTTGTCAGCTAACTTTTTTTAATCAAAGAAAGTCACACGTTGCTAGTACTCACCTCACTGAGCAGAATTTGGAGGAAATGTCTTGGTAGTCAAAAAGGAGGGAAAAAACAGTTGAATTTCATTAACAGAGGCACATACACAAAATTGACAAACGTAAAAAAAGCAGTCCTATGTTTGCATCATTCTGCTTCTGCTGTGAGCGTTTGTCCCTAATTGGGCTGGTAAGAACTTTGCAATGTACTTACCAGCAGCCAAAGAACGCTGGGGAGCAGTTTTCTTTCAGTCTGTGAAAAGACACTGTGTATTATCTCACAATTATTGACTTGATCAGAAAAATACACAACATGTTGGAAAGCACAGTTCATTATTAGCTATTTATCTTGGAATATTCACATAAATGAATAAACTCACTACATAAATCGCGATTACAAACAGATTAATATTCCTTAATGAAATCTATTTTTCTAGCAGTACAGTACAGAAAAATGTGCACTCAACTTCACTGCAGAAATAGCTGTCTTTATACTCTTACCATACCATACCATACCAACTTTATTTATAAAGCACTTTAAAACAACCACAGTTGATACAAAGTGCCGTACAATTAAAACACAACATAATAAAAAAGTAATTAAAAACAGTTTAAAAACAAAAACATAAACATTGGCTACGATTAACTCCCAGGATTACTGCTGAGTTTTCAAATTGAATAGAAACTGATTGAGAAGACAAACAGTATCATGCATGGTTATAAATTATACTAATTGGATACACATTCCTCATTCTGAATAGAATGGTTCAGTCAAGCACCCATCAATATTAGCATGCTAAGGACAGTACCCATCAGAAATAGGATGGTTAGCTGTTTACAACTTCATTATGGCGATAGTTAAGATGCAATTATTAACATCTTTAAGAATGAAACTGTGTTTCATCCTTTTTTTTTCCTTTTTATTATTATGGCAGGCCCAGTTAAAACACTGCTCATCTGCAAAGCACAACCCAAGAACAAAGCAACGTTTCCCTAACGGCCCAACAGTCAATTAACGACTGACAGTCCCAGGTTCAGGCTAACCGCTAAGTCCAATTAACTGCGACTATTACGGTTCTATTTTTTCAACTAGTTAGCTGAATAAAAGCTGACTATGAAGACAAATACTAACATACATGGTTATAAATTTAATTATTATACATTCCTCATTCTGAATAGAATGGTTTTCAGTTAAGTTTTATAGTAGGCGTTAATGTTAGCATATAATGCTAACGGTCGGCACCATCAGAAATAGGTTTAGCTGTCTGTAACTTCATTATGTATTGTGATTCCTTAAGAAGCAATTATTAACGTCTTTAATAATGAAACCGTCTTTCATCTTTTATATTTTTTGATTATTGCAAACCACATCTGCAAGGCACAACCCAAGAACAAACCAACGATTATCTAACGGCCCTTTAAGGGCTGACAGTCCCGGTTTCAGTTGAACTGAAAAGTCTAATTAACTCCGAGGTTACGGTTACAATTTTAAACATAGTTAGCTGAATAGAAGCTGGCCATGAAGAAATATTAACATACATGGTTATGAATTAAGTTAATTGGAAATAAACTCTTCAATTTAAATCGACAGGTTTTCATATGAGTTATACAGCAGTCGTCAATTTTAGCATATGCTAATGATTGTTTGCTATCAGAAAAAACTACGTATAGCTCTTTTTGGCCTTATTTACAGCCAGACTTAAGAAGCAATTATGTAATGACTCTTTCACAACGAAACCGTCTGTCATTGTTTATAATTTTATTATTACAACAGACCCAATTAAAACACAGCTTACCTGTTGGGCACAAACGAAGAAGGGAGAACAACGGCAGAGAACGTCAAGCAAAACGTCAGAGACATTCAGGAGCACTCGGAAATTTCTACTTCGATTACGACTGTGGATTTTACATGCTTGTTAAATCAATACAAGAAAGAGTTGGCACCAGTTTTAAGTCTCCTGTAACAGTTTAAAACATACAATTTTAAACTGCATTTATTTTTTTATCGCCTTAGAATTTATTCTAACATTCAAAATGTTATAGACTAATTATTAATTCCCTTNGGAAAGCTCATGGATTCCAAATTCGGGGTCTTAAAAAAGCTGACGGGTGAATTTGATTGTGCCGGCGCCAAGCAGTATGTACTTTCAGAGAAACAAAGTATCTCTTCTGATATGTCAGGAGGCTGAAGGCATGATTCTATAGCAAATCCTCCATTTGGCAAATCACCTTCATCTCCATCATTCATCTGTTGCTGAAGTTGTTGACAATCACTGTCCTGATCATTTTCAACCTCATTTTCTGACTCACATAAAGCATTTTTCTCATACTCGTCAATTTCCATCAGATCTGCTTCATCATAGTCATCCTCATCCATACTTACATCACTATTGCCATCATCATCGTCATCATCATCAGGAAGTGTAGGGTCACAAAGCTCAGCTTCATGTCTAATATTTATGTCCCGATACTCTGGATGAATCTGCTTCAGTTTTAGTAATGCAGAGATTAGTTTGGACCAGGTTACTGTCTGAAAAAGTTGATGACCTCTGTAAGACAAACGTCGCTTCAGTTTTACTCTCATCACTTGGGATTCACTCCTAAGCCTGGGTAATGCATTGACTGTCTCTTGGAGCTCTGATGGTACGCACACAAAATTGCCCCTTATTAATCTTTGTCTGCCTTTTGGAAGCGGAATGATCTTTGCAAACGGTATGCACTTAGCAATCAGGTGTCTTTCCAGAATATTCAAATCTGACAGCTCACTGGGAATTTCTGCCAAGTCAAGTTTGTTAGCTGCTGCTAGCGGTGGCATGCATCCTTTCTTTAGATGTCTGTGGCAGGTGTGACAAATCCACTCTTGACTTCTCTCATGAGGAACTGTACACTGTCCATCCATGCAGCCTTCATCACAAACATGAACATACTTGCCTGTCAGACACTGTTCAACCACATCTGGTTTCTTTACATAATTCGACCTTTTACAGAGTTCTACTTGGTTGGGAAACGAGGACTTGTGACACACAGTGCACACATAAGTGGGGCCAGCCTTTATATTTAATCTGAAAACTGAAATGGCTTCATTAATCAGTCTGTTCTCTGGCGTATCAGTTTCAAGGTTCTCCGTTTCTCTCTGAGGGAATCTTTTCATCTGTCTGTATTTTCTTTTTACATTCAGTGCACATCTGTTCTTTTGCAGGATCCTGAATGAATTGTCTTTATTGTATTTGTCTCTCATCAGGGTTTTCATCAGTTCTTTGTGTCTGAGCCTGAATTCTCTGTTTTTTGCATAAAGCTCAGTCATATAAGATCTCTGTCTCTGTCTAAATGTTGGATTATTTCTGTATAAATGTCTGATGTAGTCTTTTTGCTTTTGCTGAAATCTCAGATTATTCTTATAAGAACGTCTGACATAGTTTTTTTGTTTTTGTTTAAATATTTCATTCTCCTTGTATAACGTCCTTATACGGGCTCTCCATTTCTCGCGAAACTCTGAACTCTGCCTATAAAGATTTTTTATGTACAGGTTTTGCTTCTGTTTTCTATCAGAGTTGTTTTGAAAATTCCTGCGAGAGTAAAATCTTTTCTTTTCTCTGAAAGATTCCCTTAACGCATAGTTTTCTCTTTCCTTCCTCTTCTGATTCTCTTTTCTTTGTCTCAGTTTCTCTGTCTTAAGTAGTCTCATCTTCATCTTTTTTCTATGTGCTTTAGGGTACTTTGACAGTTTCAAAGACATTTCCAAAAGTGCACTTGTTGCATTTCTTGTTCCACTGGTAATGGGGAGTGCTGTATTTTCTTGTGTCACAGACAACATAAAACTTATTGCATTAGATGCACCTTTAATTACATCATCAGAAGAACTACTTGCAACAGGAGACATGACTTCAACATTGATGTTTGACTCAAGACCAGGAATGTTTTGTGTAAGGGAAACAGATTCAACCTCCTGTTGAACAGCACTTGATGTCTCAGATTCATGTAACAGAGGAGACGTGCCAACTGTGTCTGAAGCATCTCTCTGGTAAAATGACAGGGGCTGGAGTTCAAATACACAAGATGATGGTACGTTAAGCATTGTGTAAACTGACTTTAATCTCTGAATCATGTCAGTAAGATGGGCAAATTTCAGCATCACTGCTGTGCCAAAGTTTAAAAGACTGAATGTCATTGGCATTCCATTTTTGTTCCTTGTGTGTGGGTCAAAGTATCCATATTCACCAGATCTGCTTCTGAAAACAGCAATGCATAAGCCTGACATGATCAGCAGCGCATATTGTACATCTGATGACAAATGGCTCAATGCTTCTTCCAGGCTTGGATAAGTCTGTCCACCTCCAAATGTTCCACACACAGGTAATGGAGTCATGTCCACCTGATATGATGACCTGCGAGCACTTACCTCATTTGGTAGTTCATCAGTTGCCAAATGGATGCTACAAGGAAATCTTTCTCTAGCCTGTCTGTACACAGCATCGCCTTTATCCAGAACGAGGTCAAGATCTGGTCTGGTAATCATTTCATTCTCGTGGAAAAAAGCCAGAAACACCAAACTGTTGGCCATACACTGACTGTTCCTGTATTTTCCATATTTCAACGAATCCTGACTCCGTGAGGCACAAACATGTGTCACTGATGGCTGAAGTTCTGCATTAACTCGAGACTGCTGAGCTGAACCACATCCCCTTTTCACCATGTCAGCATAAGACACCTGTGATGCACTTTGCTTTGTATCTCCTGCATCATGCTGGAAAGCTGTTTTGGCAGTGTTTCCATGAGATAGTGCTACCACAGAGGATAAACTGTTTCCACTTCTATTGTTTACCTGCTGTCGTTTAAAAGACTCCCCAACACACATACCATTTCTAGCAAGCTGTCTCTGTGCAACATCAGTGTATGGTATATTCTGAAACTGCTGCTTGTTGTTCTCAGAGTCAGTACCTGTCACTTGATCGCTCTGAGACCGTTTCTCCTTCTGCCATCTGAGCTTCTGAGCCTGAGAACGCTGACCCTTTCTAGGCATTGTTGATTAGACTTCTGGACAGGTCAGGCAGGAAACAGCAACTCCAATGGTCCTTGTTGATCTTTTTATCTCAAGATAAGCAGATACAACACAAAACTACACCAATGTACATACAATGAATGTATTAGTGTTGAATAGCTAGTCAGTACAAACCTGTGCACAAACCTGAAGTTCAGTCCAAAGTCAGTAGCAGCAGGCAGGAACACGAATTAGGCAGCTCAGATAAGAAATGAGCTTTACTTCAGTCCAATTGGAATTTTGTTCAATAAAAATTTAGCTCAGTTGATTGTGTACTGAGTTCTTAAATGTATACAGATCAAGTATTTAGTTGATCGGTTTCAGAAATTATTTAAAATAGAAAATTATAATCCAATTCTGAAATAGAAGTTTTTTTTAAACTTCAGGTCCAAATCAGATTACTCAAAAAGACGTCTCAGAAATATCAAACTTTAACGTTTTTTCTTTTTACGGTTTTCAACTTTATGCCAATTGTGGTCTATAAATATATTTCGTCAGACAAGACCAGAGCTTTACTTAAGTCCAATTAGAATTGGAGCAATGTAGTTCAGCAGAAAGCAAACTTTGTTTTCAATTTTAAAATTTATACAGATCAAGTTTTTAGTTGACCTGTTTGAGTAATGATTTTCAGCCAATTTTTAAATGGAAGCTTGTCAAACTTATTAGATTACTCAACAATGACGTCTTAGGATTGTCAAGCTTCCCAGTTATTTACGGTGGAGAGGGGTAGACAGGAAAGACAGAGCAGTGAGAGGGGAGATTCTCTCAGATTCTCAATGATAGTCAGACGAGTTACGGATAAAACTCGATAGAAGTATGGTTTCTCAAATATATAGCCACAAAATTCATGCCACAAAATTCATGCCAAAAAATCGAGAGTAGAACTGTTCAGAGGTCACAGGACGTAAGATGCGAGGGGAAAAACAGATCTAGTTACTGGTAAACTAGATTAAGAGAGACAGGCAAACATCAATTTGGCAGTAAACTGATGGTTGAAGAAAAAAAGGGAACTCTGTCACTGATAAACCAGGTTCCTGAATTCGGAAAAACCAGGCCACCTATTGGGATGCTGGTTTTTGAAAAGATTCGTAGGAGAGTTTAGGGATGGGATAGTAAAATGCACAGAAAATGGTTTTCCAGATATGTTGGGAAGGAAGAGGAAAGAGGAAAACACAGTTGGAAAATTAAAATGCTTCCGACAGTGGTTAGACAAAAAAGGTCCGGGAACACCTGCAAGACAAAGAACAGCCAATAGACATCAAAATGAAACATTCTCAACAGAGCAGCTTCTGGGTCAGATTCCATCTGAAAAGGTTCAAACTGTGAAGAGATGCATAGCTACTACTAGTGAACTAAGCTCTGTGGTGTGAATAGGGTTGTTGCTGTGTTTTCATGACCTTTATTGAAAAAGTTCATGAATGTAAATTATGATATTCTTACTGATTCAATATGAAATAAGATGTATCCCAGCATACCAACAGATAAATAAAAGAGCCAGCTGCTTTAGAAGAATGTAATGTTGATTTGGACCTTCTTCATCACTGATCTTAAAGTGAGTGACAGAAAACCTCATCATTAGTCCAGAAAACAAGTCAGAGGATTGTTGCTGTACTGAGTCACGTTTCTTACAGGGTTTTGGGCAACTGGGTCCTCATGTGAGCACAGTCAACATATCCTGTTTGGACCCAATTTGAAGCCAATGTTTGTAGATATGATTTTATTCAAATTGTGTGTGAGTCAGGTTGGATCAGCTGTGATGGCTCGGCTGATCCAGGTTGGAACATCCGCTCACCAGGAAGGCAGGTGTTTGGGTCCACTTCTCTCTGTGAGGGAGAGTAGAAACAGTTTGTTAGTAGCTGACCAGAAAACCTTCAGGAGTCCAGAACACACGTATCTGCTAAGGTTCTTTGTTGTCTGTACACAAGCTGCTTTGATCTAACATTTCTGGATTTGTCAGCTAACTTTTTTTAATCAAAGAAAGTCGCACATTGCTAGTACTCACCTCACTGAGCAGAATTTGGAGGAAATGTCTTGGTAGTCAAAAAGGAGGGAAAAAACAGTTGAATTTCATTAACAGAGGCACATACACAAAATTGACAAACGTAAAAAAAGCAGTCCTATGTTTGCATCATTCTGCTTCTGCTGTGAGCGTTTGTCCCTAATTGGGCTGGTAAGAACTTTGCAATGTACTTACCAGCAGCCAAAGAACGCTGGGGAGCAGTTTTCTTTCAGTCTGTGAAAAGACACTGTGTATTATCTCACAATTATTGACTTGATCAGAAAAATACACAACATGTTGGAAAGCACAGTTCATTATTAGCTATTTATCTTGGAATATTTACATAAATGAATAAACTCACTACATAAATCGGGATTACAAACAGATTAATATTCTTTAATGAAATCTATTTTTCTAGCAGTACAGTACAGAAAGATGTGCACCCATCTTCACTGCAGAAACAGCTGTCTTTATACTCTTATTACCATACCATACCAACTTCATTTATAAAGCACTTTAAAACAACCACAGTGGATACAAAGTGCTGTACAATTAAAACACAACATAATAAAAAAGTAATTAAAAACAGTTTAAAAACAAAAACATAAACATTGGCTACGATTAACTCCCAGGATTACTGCTGAGTTTTCAAATTGAATAGAAACTGATTGAGAAGACAAACAGTATCATGCATGGTTATAAATTATACTAATTGGATACACATTCCTCATTCTGAATAGAATGGTTCAGTCAAGCACCCATCAATATTAGCATGCTAAGGACAGTACCCATCAGAAATAGGATGGTTAGCTGTTTACAACTTCATTATGGCGATAGTTAAGATGCAATTATTAACATCTTTAAGAATGAAACTGTGTTTCATCCTTTTTTTTCTTCTTTTTTTTATTATGGCAGGCCCAGTTAAAACACTGCTCACCTGCAAAGCACAACCCAAGAACAAAGCAACGTTTCCCTAACGGCCCCAACAGTCAATTAACGACTGACAGTCCCAGGTTCAGGCTAACCGCTGAGTCCAATTAACTGCGACTATTACGGTTCTATTTTTTCAACTAGTTAGCTGAATAAAAGCTGACTATGAAGACAAATACTAACATACATGGTTATAAATTAGATTATTATACATTCCTCATTCTGAATAGAAGGGTTTTCAGTTAAGTTTTATAGTAGGCGTTAATGTTAGCATATAATGCTAACGGTCGGCACAATCAGAAATAGGTTTAGCTGTCTGTAACTTCATTACGTATTGCGATTCCTTAAGAAGCAATTATTAACGTCTTTAAGAATGAAACCGTCTTTCATCTTTTATATTTTTTGATTATTGCAAACCACATCTGCAAGGCACAACCCAAGAACAAACCAACGTTTATCTAACGGCCCCTTAACGGCTGACAGTCCCAGTTTCAGTTGAACTGAAAAGTCCAATTAACTCCGAGGTTACGGTTGCAATTTTAAACAAAGTTAGCTGAATAGAAGCTGGCCATGAAGACAAATACTAACATACCTGGTTATAAATTAAGTTAATTGGATATAAACTCTTCAATTTAAATCGACATGTTTTCATATCAGTTATACAGCAGTCGTCAATTTTAGCATATGCTAATTATTGTTTGCTATCAGAAAAAATTACGTATAGCTCTTTTTGGCCTTATTTACAGCCAGACTTAAGAAGCAATTATGTATTAACTCTTTCACAACGAAACCGTCTGTCATTTTTTATAATTTTATTATTACAACAGACCCAATTAAAACACAGCTTACCTGTTGAGCACAAACGAAGAAGGGAGAACGTAACGGCAGAGAACGCCAAGCAAAACGTCAGAGACATTCAGGAGCACTCGGAAATTTCTACTTCGATTACGACTGCGGATTTTACATGCTTGTTAAATCAATACAAGAAAGAGTTGGCACCAGTTTTAAGTCTCCTGTAACAGTTTAAAACATACAATTTTAAACTGCATTTATTTTTTTTTATCGCCTTAGAATTTATTCTAACATTCAAAATGTTATAGACTAATTATTAATTCCCTTCGTTACTCATGCCTTACTGTCGCTTTTGTTGAAAGTTCAAAATGTATTAGCATAAATTGTTATTAAATAACACTGCTTCCTCATCACTGTCATGAACAAAATATTAAATAAAAAATATAAACTTACTGTGGGAGAGGCGGCAGGGGCTTGCTCCGCTCAGCAAATGCAGGTGACGTTCAAAGAACGCCACTAAAAGCCACTCAACTGCGCATGTTCATAAGACCTCTTGGATGGGTCGACAGCTGGTCTAAGTGTAATCTGTTTTACAGGTGCAATAAAGTATCAGCGCATTTAATCAAAATAACTTGCTTAATAGCAAGTTATTATTGCTACTCAGCAATAATAAAACTATTATTATAGCCCAGAGTTTTAGCCCACAGTTTTAGCTGTGGGCTAGTTTTAGCCCGCGGGCTAAAACTTCTCAGCCACTCAAAGAAAAAAGAAAAAAAAGGCCGCATGAGAAGTGTTGAGTTCAATTCTGTCGGACATTAGAGACTTCTAACTTTATAAAAGTAGTGATTTTATATTGATTTTGTTTTATATTTATTTCGAAATAAAACCAGAAATATGTTCGATTGTGTTAACGCCGCCTATCAGGTATGCAGGAGTACTGCAATAAGCTATGTTTTATAATCAAAAAGTGAATGAATGCAACATAAAGTCCATTTTTCCGATGTCCTCAAACGTACCACACGCCTGAAGGCCGTGGCAGGTTCATACAGGGCCCTGCAGAGACCACTAAAGGGGCAGGCGCTCAAAAAAAGGGCACATCTAACCGCATTCTAGGACAGAATTTTAACAAAGCCACACAGCTTTCAGAGTTTAATAAACAAAGATAAATAACAAAATTGTGAGATATACAATCAAAGCTAAGGAAAATCTCTATATAGAGCACACAACTATGCATATGTAAGATATTTTATTAGTAATTTCTTTCTGCAGGTCTATTTTGTTATAAGAAAGTATTGCCATATTCAAACCCGCAATTTAGCAAGATATGTAAATCAGAGCTAGACCACCAGACATATTTTGTCTTTACAGAATTAGACTATTAAAAATGCAAACAGGGGCACAATGCAACTTTTTAGTGGACTGTAATCTATAAAAAGAGCTGCCTGTTTGCTACACCTGCAGTGGAAATTAAGATGTTCCTTTCAGGAAAGCATAGCTGCATCAAACTTTAACATGGAATTGCCGGGAAAAAAAACCGAAATAAAAACTCAAAAATTGAATAGTTAATGCAGGTCACCATGAGAAAAGTCTATGAGTTTTGCTTAAACCTTTTTCTCACATGACGTTGGGGGCAGGGACCAAAAATATTTCTGATGTTTGCAAATAAAAGTTTATGTTTAGCAAATAACTTCTTAAGTTCACGAGACAAAAATGACTTATTTAATTTAGAAAAAAGTTATTTAAACAAAACATTTAGTTTTTAAATATAAATCATNACAANTTGAAAAGATTTGATNACAATTTTATTTTACTTGACATTCAAATGTTCAGCTATGAACCTCACCGTGTTTATAGCTGTTCTTAGCTGTTTTTCTATGAACAGCTAAAAAAATAGCTGTTTCTAGCAAAACAGTAGTGCACATTTGCAGAATGACTGCAACAGAAATCAAGAAAAAGTAGAGAAAAGCATAAGCAGTAGGAAAAATCAGAAGAAATTGAAATAGTTGAAACAGTGAAATTGAAATAGTTGAATTAGTTGAACAGTGAAACATAACAAACAGCAGAAATTAGCTGAAGCAGAAATTAGTACACAACCAGAAATATTTGAAGAAGTGAAACTTAGCATAAAGGTTCAAAGAAGCATATTTGCAGAATGACTGCAGCAGAAATGCAAGAAAAAGTAGAGAAAAGCGTAAGAAGTCGGAGAAGGCAGAAGAAATTGAAATAGTTGAAACAGTGAAATTAAAATAGTTAAAATAGTTGAACAGTGAAATGTAGCAAACAGAAATTAGCTGAAGCAGAAATTAGTAGAAATATTTGAAGAAATATTTGAAGGAGTGAAACTTAACATAAAGGGCCAAAGAAGCATATTTGCAGAATGACTGCAGCAGCAATTGAAGAAAATGTAGAGATAAGCTAAAGAAGTGGAAGATAGCCAAAGAAATTGAATTAGTTGAACAGTAAAACCTAGCAAAGAGAAATTAACTGAAGCAGAAATTAGTAGAAATATTTGAAGAAATATTTGAATGAGTGAAACTTAACATAAAGGGCCAAAGAAGCATATTTGCAGAATGATTGATGCAAAAATATAAGAAACTTGAGAACAAAGAGTAGGAAGTTGGAAAAAAGCATAAGAAAGCTACAGTCATATATTGTAAAAATCTTTTGNACCTCATTTGGTAGCTCATCAGTTGCCAAATGGATGCTACGAGGAAATCTTTCTCTAGCCTGTCTATATACAGCGTCACCTTTATCCAGAACGAGGTCAAGATCTGATCTGTTAATTCTTTCATTCTCGTGGAAAAAAGCCAGAAACACCAAACTGTTGGCCATACACTGACTGTTCCTGTATTTTCCATATTTCAACGAATCCTGACTCCGTGAGGCACAAACATGTGTCACTGATGGATGAAGTTCTAGATTAACTCGAGACTGCCGAGCTGAACCACATCCCCTTTTCACCATGTCAGCATAAGACACCTGTGATGCACTTTGCTTTGTATCTCCTGTATCATGCTGGAAAGTTGTTTTGGCAGTGTTTCCATCAGATGGTGCTACAACAGAGGATAAACTGTTTCCACTTCTATCGTTTACCTGCTGTCGTTCAAAAGACTCCCCAACACACATATCATCTCTAGCAACCTGTCTCTGTGCAACATCAGCATATGGTATATTCTGAAACTGCTGCTTGTTGTTCTCAGAGTCAGTACCTGTCACTTGATTGCTCTGAGACCGTTTCTCCTTCTGCCATCTGAGCTTCTGAGCCTGAGAACGCTGACTCTTTCTAGGCATTGTTGATTCGACTTCTGGACAGGTCAGGCAGGAAACAGCAACTCCAATGGTCCTTGTTGATCTTTTTATCTCAAGCAGATACAACACAAAACTACACCAATGTACATACAATGAATGTATAAGTGTTGAATAGCTAGTCAGTACAAACCTGTGCACAAACCTGAAGTTCAGTCCAAAGTCAGTAGCAGCAGGCAGGAACACGAATTAGGCAGCTCAGATAAGAAATGAGCTTTACTTCAGTCCAATTGAAATTTTGTTCAATAAAAATTTAGCTCAGTAGATTTTCAGTTCTTAAATGTATACAGATCAAGTATTTAGCTGATCTGTTTCAGAAATTTAAAATATAATCCAATTTTGAAATAGAAGTTGTTTTTTTTAAACTTCAGGTCCAAATCAGATTACTCAAAAAGACGTCTTAGAAATATCAAACTTTTTACTGTTTTCGACTTTATGCCAATAGTGCTCTATAAATATATTTCGTCAGACAAGACCAGAGCTTTACTTAAATCCAATTAGAATTGGAGCAATGTAGTTCAGTGGAAAACAAACTTTGCTTTCAATTTTAAAATTTATACAGATCAAGTTTTTAGTTGACCTGTTTGAGTAATTATTTATTTTCAGCCAATTTTTAAATGGAAGCTTTTCAAACTTATTAAATTATTACTTAACAAGACGTCTTAGAAGTGTCAAGCTTCCCAGTTATTTACTTTTACGGTGGAGAGAGGTTGATAGGAAAGACAGAGCAGTGAGAGGGGAGATTCTCTCAGATTCTCAATGATAGTCAGATGAGTTATTCATAAACTCAGATGCCATGATATGATATTCAGAAAATATATGCCATGATATGATATTCAGAAAATATATGCCAGAACTGTTCAGAGGTCACAGGATGTAAGATGTGAGGGGAAAAACAGATCTAGTTACTGGTAAACTAGATTAAGAGAGACAGGCAAACATCAATTTGGCAGTAAACTGATGGTTGAAGAAAAACAGGGAACTCTGGTTACTGGTAAACCAGGCTCTTGAATTCGGAAAAACCAGGCCGCCTATTGGGATGCTGGTTTTTGAAAAGAATTCGTGTTAGAGTTTAGGGACGGGATAGAAAAATGCATAGAAAATGGGTTTCCAGATATATTGGAAGGAAGAGGAAAGAGAAAAACACAGTTGGAAAATGAAAATGCTTCCGATAGTGGTTAGAAAAAGAGTGTCCGTGGAACACCTGCGAGACAAAGAACAGCCAATAGACATCAAAATGAAACATTCTCAACAGAGCAGCTTCTGGGTCAGATTCCATCTGAAAAGGTTCAAACTGTGAAGAAATGCATAGCTACTACTAGTGAAATAAGCTATGTGGTGTGAACTGGGTTGTTGCTGTGTTTTCATGACCTTTATTGAAATAGTTCAATGAATGTAGATTATGATTTTCTTACTGATTCAATACGAAATAGGATGTATCCCAGCATACAAACAGATAAAAGAGTCAGCTGCTTTAGAAGAATGTAATGCTGATTTGGACCTTCTTGATCACAGAGCTTAAAATGAGTGACAGAAAACCTCATCATGAGTCCAGAAAACAAGTCAGGGTCCTCATGTGAGCACAGCCAACATATCCTGTTTGGACCCAATTTAAAGCCAATGTTTGTAGGATCAGCCGAGCTGTGATGGCTCGGCTGATCCAGGTTGGAACATCCGCTCACCAGGAAGACAGGTGTTTGGGTCCACTTCTCTCTGTGAGGGAGAGTAGAAACAGTTTGTTAGTAGCTGACCAGAAAACCTTCAGGAGTCCAGAACACACTTATCTGCTAAGGTTCTTTGTTTTCTGTACACAAGCTGCTTTGATCTAAACATTTCTGGATTTGTCAGCTAACTTTTTTTAATCAAAGAAAGTCACACGTTGCTACTACTCACCTCACTGAGCAGAATTTGGAGGAAATGTCTAGGTAATCAAAAAGGAGGGAAAAAACAGTTCAATTTAATTAACAGAGGCACATACACAAAATTGACACACGTAAAAAGCAGCAGTCCTATGTTTGCATCATTCTGCTTCTGCTGTGAGCGTTTGTCCCTAATTGGGCAGGTAAGAACTTTGCAATGTACTTACCAGCAGCCAAAGAACGCTGGGGAGCAGTTTTCTTTCAGTCTGTGAAAAGAAACTGTGTGTTATTTCACAATTACTGACTTGATCAGAAAAATACACAACATGTTGGAAAGCACAGTTCATTATTAGCTATTTATCTTGGAATATTTACATAAATTAATAAACTCACTACATAAATCTGTATTACAAACAGATTAATATTAAAATTATATTAATATTTTAATAATAAATAATATCAATATTCACCCGTCAATATTAGCATATAATGCTAACGGACATCTGTTTACAACTTCATTATGGCGATAGTTAAGATGCAATTATTAACATCTTTAAGAATTAAACTGTGTTTCATCCTTTTTTGTCAATTATGGCAGTCCCAGTTAAAACACTGCTCACCTGCAAAACCACAACCCAAGAACAAAGCAACGTTTCCCTACCGGCCCAACAGTCAATTAACGACTGACAGTCCCAGTTCCAGGCTAACCGCTAAGTCCAATTAACTGCGACTATTACGGTTCTATTTTTTTAACTGACCATAAAGACAAATGCTAACATACATGGTTATAAATTAGATTATTAAAATTATACTGCATAAGGTTAATTAGATTATTATACATTCCTCATTCTGAATAGAATGGTTTTCAGTTAAGTTTTATAGTAGACGTTAATGTTAGCATATCACGCTAGCGGTCGGCATAGGAGGGTTAGCCGACCGCTAACCCTCATAACTTCATTATGGTATTGCGATTCCTTAAGAAGCGATTATTAAGGTCTTTAAGAATGAAACCGTCTTTCATCTTTTATACTTTTTGATTATTGCAAGTCACATCTGCCAGGCAGAACCCAAGAACAAACCAACGTTTATCTAACGGCCCCTTAACGGCTGACAGTCCCAGTTTCAGGCTAACCGCTAAGTCCAATTAACTGCGACTATTACGGTTCTATTTTTTTAACTGACCATAAAGACAAATGCTAACATACATGGTTATAAATTAGATTATTAAAATTATACTGCATAAGGTTAATTAGATTATTATACATTCCTCATTCTGAATAGAATGGTTTTCAGTTAAGTTTTATAGTAGACGTTAATGTTAGCATATCACGCTAACGGTCGGCATAGGAGGGTTAGCTCTCTATAACTTCATTATGGTATTGCGATTCCTTAAGAAGCGATTATTAACGTCTTTAAGAATGAAACCGTCTTTCATCTTTTATATTTTTTGATTATTGCAAGCCACATCTGCCAGGCAGAACCCAAGAACAAACCAACGTTTATCTAACGGCCCCTTAACGGCTGACAGTCCCAGTTTCAGTTGAACTGAAAAGTTCAATTAACTCCGAGGTTACAGTTGCAATTTTATACATAATTAGCTGAATAGAAGCTGGCCATGAAGACAAATACTAACATACATGATTATAAATTAAGTTAATTGGATATAAACTCTTCAATTTGAATCGACAGGTTTTCATATGAGTTATACAGCAGTCGTCAATTTTAGCATATGCTAATGATTGTTTGCTATCAGAAAAAAAACTACGTATAGCTGTTTTCAGCCTTATTAAGTTACAGCCACATTTTAGAAGCAATTATGTATTAACTCTTTGACAACGAAACCGTCTGTAATTGTTTATAATTTTATTATTACAACAGAACAATTAAAACACAGCTTACCTGTTGGGCACAAACGAAGAAGGGAGAACGTAACGGCAGAGAACTCCAAGCAAAACGTCAGAGACATTCAGGAACACTCGGATATTTCCACTTCGATTACGACTGTGGATTTTGCATGCTTGTTAAATCAATACAAGAAAGATTTGGCACCAGTTTAAAGTCTCGTGTATAATTCCTGTTTTGAAACATACAATTTTAAACTTCATTTATTTTTTATCGCCTTAGAAATAATTCTAACATTAGACTAATTATTAATTCCCTTCGTTACTCATGCCTTACTGTCGCTTTTGTTGAAAGTTCAAAATGTATTAGCATAAATTGTTCTTAAATAAAACTCCTTGTTCATCACTGTCATGAACAAAATATTAAATAAAAAATATAAATTTAACTTACTGTGGGAGAGGCCGCAGGAGCTTGCTCCGCTCAGCAAATGCAGGTGACGTTCATAGAACGCCGCTTAAAGCCACTCAACTGCGCATGTCCATAAGGCCGTGCCAGGCATAGACATAATATAAGGATAGACCCTCATGGACCGCTCTCGCCTATTGT